AAAAAAAAAAAAAAAAAAAAAAAAAAACAAAGTTTGCAGCGCCTGTTGGGCAAATACATCTCACCACATAAAAGATTGGACATGTCGACTGTCATTGACTAATCTGGCGTATTGTTTACTTTTCTAGCATTATTTTGTATAATTCTCCCAAGAAACATGAGCCTCTAGATTCTTCAAAAACCCCCCTTCTCCTGAAACTCCCACCAATTTCAATTCTCTCTTTCTTCTCAAAACCTCCATGGGAGACTTTGGATCAAGATCAAGATCATACAGCTACAGTGATGGTGGAGATATGCAAATAGAGAGATACTATGCACCCAAAAAACCCAATCTTGAAGACCACCCACCTCATAATTCCAGGTCTTACAGTGTATCTTATGGTCCATCTTCACAAACCAATATGGATCTTGTTGTTTCTGGCACCACTGCCAAAGACTTTGAGTTCAAGAAAGGGAAGTCAACTGCAAAATCATGGAGCTTTAATGATCCTGAGTTCCAGAGGAAAAAGAGGGTTGCTAACTACAAAGTCTATTCTGTTGAAGGGAAAGTCAAAGGGTCTTTCAGGAAGAGTTTCAGGTGGCTTAAAGATAAGTACACCCATGTTGTTTATGGATGGTGGTAGATTCATAGACTCATAGATACAACATGCTATGCATATTTCTATCTATTCATGTATACCCTTTTCTTTTCTGTGATAAAAGAGGAGTTATGGTTTCAAATAGACACTCTTGTCTACTTGAGTACCAATTGCCTATTCTGATTGGCTTCCTGGTTTGCTATTTCAAAATTGAAATCCATAACATATATATATATATATATATATGTACATATGTATATATATGTGTATGTGTGTTGGGGGGTTTTGTAAGGGGGTGGCTAATGGCACCCCTATGATGTGCTAATGCCACCCCTAAGTAGACTTTAATCATTTGAGTTTTATAAATTTTTGTGTTTTTTTGTTTTTTTGTGATTATTACTTTTTATTTTATTATTAATTAAAGAAAATTTTAATTAATATATATTATTTATTTAATTTTCTGTTTTATTTATTTATTTATTTATATTATATTTTAATTAATATAA